GAGATTATCTCTATTAAGAGAATATCTATGAGCAACATATATAGAAAAAGGGGCCAAAATACCCACAAAGTGATCATCCAAGGGCACCCAATATCTTAAAGTGAGGAAAAAGGTATAAATACCCATAATGTTACATGAGTAGGTATAAAAGTGACCAAATTGTTAATTTTAACTTAATGCCATTAACTTTGATTGTTAATACCGATTGTGCATGCCACGTGTATATCTTTATTAATATAGATTAATAAAGGAGCAAAAATATCCATGAAGTTATCGGCAAAGAGCAAAAATATTTATAATGTTACTCGAGTTAGAGTAAAAGTGATCAATATATCAAATCCCTTAAATGTTAACAATTTAACTGAAACCGAGGTAGAAGTTGACCACTTTTTCGCTCACATAGACAAAAAAATTCTTAGATGAAAGTCTCTAGAGATTAATCGATCATTGTATGAATATATCATATGAAAAAAATATTGTTTTGACCGAATATCAAATTAAATCACTTGTTTCTTTGCAGCAATAGCGAAAGCCATTTGAAAATTTTAAACCTATCGTGAATAAAATTGCTTATAATTGTGATAATATTCTTAAGGTAGGGCAGTGTAGGAGGTGTGCTTAGTCTTGATCTTCAATTGTGTACAACCTATGTCACTATGTTGAATCTCAAGTTTTTCAGATAAGAAAAATGAGTGGAGAAGGAGGGAGGAAGGGGCGGATATGTGGCAATGAAAAGAAACCATTGGCATGGGTTTTGATAGATTAGTCACTTTTGTACCCACTAAAGTAACATTATGTATACTCATATGATGATCAATCAACCTCTATAAAAATTTATCTGGAAATATTTTTGTCTACATTAGCAAAAAAATAGTCAACTTTTACTTAGGTGTCAACTAAATGATCAATATTTACAATCAACATTCAAGAAATTTGATGGATTAGTATTTTTGCACCAGTTACGAAAATGTTAGAGGTATTTTTGCTCCTGACTGACAAATTTGTGGGTATTTTTAATCTTTTATTAATCCATGTCAGCAAAGATTGATACATAGCATGTATAGTCAGCATTTAACAGTCAAAGTTAACGACATTAAGTCTAAGTTAATGATTTGGTTGCTTCTCCACCCATTCATGTAACGTTATGGATAATTATACCATTTTCCTTATTTAGGATTTTGAGTGCCCTGACTAACCACTTTATAAATATTTTTATCCCTTTACCCATATATATATATATATATATTTCAGAATGAGAATCAAGAAGCTTGCAAGGTGGTGGAGATGCAGGCTTGGTACACCAACCGAAGGAGGAAAGGAAAGCCCAATGGTACTCATTTTCTTTTGTTTTTTAAATTTTTTTCATTTTACCTGTTTTGAAAACTCAATGTATCTTTGGTGAACAATCCCATTTGCATCTTTGCTGCAAAAATTTAATTTCTCAATATCACCCTTACACACAAGACCCAAGCCCAAAAAAGTGAAACAGCAAAAACACATTACCCTTCAAGGCTTTTTTTAAAATTTTACTTTTCTTAGGTTGTGCCTTTCAAAGGTTGAGAAATTAACTAAATAATTGATAATTGAATTTCATTTGATTACCTTAATTCCACGCATCGCATTCATTCATGACAAGCCCATCAACATTGTGAATGAACCTTTGATTTCCTTATTGGTCTCTTCTAATGGATATATTTTTTATGTTAACACTGATTATATAGTAAGTTAGTGATATTAATTATACTTTACACCTGAATCCTAACAACCATCTATACTTAGATTTCACGTGTTTAGTATTCCTTTAATGTCCAAAATCTCAATCTTTTATCTCGAGGTGTTTTGGACACATGAGCTTATATTTTTTTAAATTAAACATTACTCCCATGAACTTTGAAATATATATACATAATCTCCTTAATTTTTAAAACTTTACAATGAACCCTCTCAACTTTTATATTTATATAGGTAACTCTACGTAATTAATTTTACACATTAATTATTTACACATAGCTTAAAGTTTTAGAGGCTATCCGTATATCAATCAGAGTTTGGGAGCTAAATGCATATAAAAATAAAGTTTAAGGGGATATATAATTAATGATTAGGTTTATTTACATAAATCTGGAAGCTTAATGAGGTTTATCATTAAGTTTTAAAGATTAAGAAAGTTATTTGTATATAATTTAAAGTTCAAAGAAGTTGTGTATAAGTTAGCCGTGTGTGTGCGACTCGGTAATTTTTCCCTACTTCTAGTAAGATGACTGCTGCTGTTATACATATTGTACATATTTCTTGAAAAGATTACGAATAGGTTCTATATGAAAAATTCATTTATAAATAACAAAGTCTTACACGCCCATCACTTCATTGCTCCTATTAATATCAATGTGTTATTGATATTGATCATATTTATTGTTAGAACAATCCAATAGAAACCAATAATTAATAATTTGTACGAGCACGGAAGATCTAAATCAGTTGTGTGTGTGTAAAAGAAGTCTAATTAGAGAATATTTAAATATTGACCGAGCTTCGAATTACGACCGGTCAATCATGCTCTCTTCCTCTCCGATCTACGGATGAAAATTACACGTGTCAGAATCCTGTTCCCATCAACAAATTCTTCACAAGCTGCATGCATAGAGTGTGGTTATGTGTGTTTTGTGCAAGATAATTTATTTGAATTTGTATTGTAGTCTAACTCGCTATAGCTTTGTGCCAGTGTCTAGAAATGGTTATAAATAATTAAATATACATAATAGTTAATTAACAATAAAGATCGAACAAGTCAACCATTAACTCCAGCTCGTGCAACCACGTTTGTGTTGAAAATGTTCTAATTTAACAAATTACCAAAACATTCTCTGAAGTCAACCCTCAAAAATTATTCTCAAAATCACCTATATAAATTCATCAAATATTCCATAAGATGCCTCAAACCCTCGAGCATGGCTACCTTAACACCCCCACTCTTCTTCTTCCTTTCAACATTATCGTTCCTACCACTATTACATCTTCAAGCTCTTATGCCAACAGTACTGCTCCCAAAACACCAAAGAACCCCATCCTCAACACCATAGACTCTTGCTGGAGAACCAACTCAAACTGGGCATCGAATCGCCAAGCCTTAGCTGATTGTGCTGTCGGGTTTGGCAAAGACGCTATTGGAGGTAAGTTTGGAGCTATATATGAAGTCACTGATGCCTCCGATGACCCTGTGAACCCTAAACCAGGGACACTTCGCTATGGTGTCATCCAAACACGGCCTCTCTGGATAATATTCGCCAGGGACATGGTTATTACCCTCAAGAACGAGCTCATAGTGAATAGCTACAAGACCATTGATGGCAGAGGAGCTGAGGTGGAGATTGCTTATGGACCTTGCATTACCATTCAAGGTGTTGATCACGTCATTATACACGGGATTAGCATCCACGATTGCAAACCAGGTAATACAGCATTATCTTGTTATATGATGTTTGACAAAGAAATATAACGCTGACATATATATAGGACATGATGTGTCGACATTATTTAATTAAATTTAGTTAGGATTCATTGATTTCATTCACCATTTATCGTTCTTCAGTTAATTATTACTTGGCTTGTTTTGCACGAGCAGGAAAATCTGGGATGGTCAGAAGGAGTAGTGATCATGTAGGACGTCGTTTAGGTTCAGATGGAGACGCTATCAGCATATTTGGGTCCTCAAATGTTTGGGTTGACCATTGCTTCCTTGCTCGTTGTGCCGATGGTCTCATTGATATTATTCACGCCTCCACTTCCATCACCATTTCTAACAATTACTTCACACAGCACGATAAAGTATTGATACCACAATTTCTTCTCTCTCTTTCCCTCGTACCTTATTACTCATGCAGCACCTTCTCCTCACCGATGTCTTTGAAATGGTGGTGTTGCTCACTGAGCTAACGTTTGTTTCTGTAGGTGATGCTGCTAGGACACAGCGATCAATACAAGGAAGATAAGATAATGAAAGTGACAATAGCTGTCAACCATTTTGCCAGTGACCTATATGAAAGGATGCCAAGGTAATTAATAAGAGTGGTCTAGGTATGCATATCCAAGTAAATCTTAGCTTCTTGAGGCTAGAGCCAGTTTGAAGAGTGTTTCTATATTTCACTTAATAACTGATGAACTTTTGAAGGATAAGATTTGGATACGCCCATGTGGTCAACAACAGATATGATGGGTGGAAGATGTATGCCATTGGTGGCAGTGCTGACCCAACCATTCTGAGTGAAGGGAACTACTATATTGCTCCGAGTAACCCCAACGGAAAGCAGGTATATAGCTAGAAAGCCCCCTTAATGACTAAACTTGTTTGTGAGTAAGAAAGATTAGGTAATGAGACTTAAATCTCAGTTCATTATATATTCATGTCATGAACCAGTATATAATTCAAAGAGAGCTCTATCTTGATGCAGAATGCTACCTGAATGACAGGTTATTGACTATTAATTAACTGCGGATATTTCATTGCAGGTTACCAAGAGGGTAGTGAAGAAAGACTGGAAGAATTGGAAATGGAGGACTTATAAGGACTCATTTCTGAATGGAGCCTATTTTGTTCCATCTGGGTATGGAAGTTGTGCCCCTTACTATTCAAGTGCTCAATCTTTTATTGCTGCTTCAGCATCCTTGGTGCATGCATTAACCCTTAATGCTGGTCCTTTGAGTTGTAGTGTTGGGAAAGCTTGTTAATCTGGCCTCATATTGGCTTCTCCTTTTTGTTCTCTCTCTTCTATCATTGCTAATTTTTCGATGTTCGATCCATAAGTGGCTTAGGTCCACTAGGGACAGACCTACATATCGTAGTTGGAGGGGTCAACAGCCCTTTGTGACGATGATATCTTTTTCCTTGGTACTATATGTAAGATGAGTATTAATTGCTCCTAATATCTGATAATACTATTTCTATTGTCCCGCCAATAAATACACATATGTTAACAGCCTAAAATTACTTGAGTCTTCATCGACGGTGTACATCAGAGTGGTTTTGAAAAAATTCTCCTGAGGTACCACCTAGCTGGATAATAATAAGCTGAATATGATAACCATATCCCCTGCTTTGCAGAAGACTTGGTTCTGTGAGTTGTGACAGCTGCTTGTGTTTTTCTCGAGAAAATGAAGAGGCTGTTGATATGAAGAAGTGTAGAACATATTGTTCGGCATAGCCTTTTGTTTCCAATAGTCAACAGATATAAAGAAATTACAATCACCACCATTAAAGTAACAGAGGTGCCAATCAGAAAGTGGGAAAAATAGGGAAGAAACTCCAGAAGAAGCATTATAAAGGCCACTATATAACTGAAGTATAAATATATATATATATATATATAGCTCCATCAAAAAACTAAAAAAGAAAGAAGGTGTGAGTGTCTGATTCTCAGCGTTTGGCTGGTCATATTCAGAAAAGCCTATTCTCGTTGCTTTGAACTCCGCAAGTTACTGGTGCTTTGGTCCTCACTTTCTTCAGGTACCAAATTCCAGCTCCAACTCCAAATGCCCCTGCAGCTGAAATCGCACTAACTGTCCCTGCATCCACAGTTTCAACACACAAAACCACAAATGAGACTCACATCCTCCAAAAAAATTTCCGTCTCTCGTCATTGTTCATTTCTTTTACCTGCAATCACATGTACCATCTTACTGTGCCTGGCAATATCATGATCTGCCACACAAAAATCCACCCAGTTAATTCATATTCTCCAACGAGTTATTGAAATTCAAAACACCACGAATCATATGTCATTCTCTTGGGACTTGGTTGCCAGATATTGAGGTTTGCACAATCAAAATACCTAAGAAATTAAGAAAACAGGGGAAATGGTTTGAGGTACCTTTGCAATGGGTAGTGGAATTTCCATCCTTACATAGGCACAAGAAATTCTGGTTCTGTGTATCAAACCCACAAGTTCCACCTCCTTTCATGGGATCCTGACACTGAAGGCATCTAGTAGTGACTGGTATATCGAAATCAACTCTGATTCCATATTCGGGCACTTGATCATACGGTTGAGGAGCACCCACGTTTCTCCAATACACACTAGTATAACTAGTACAGTACTTAAGCATCAACCTCAAAGATTCAGTAGCTTTTGGGTAGTAAGAGCAGCAAGAACTCCCACTCAAAGCAAAAGCACACCCAGGAAGGTGCCTACAAAGATAGCTAGCACTATCACAGGAAGAATCACAATGCTCAGGGAAATGTTCACAGAATATAGGCTTTGGTTCCATGATCACACGATCTTCACTGCAATTGAAGAATAAGTACTCGTTTTGTGGGGAAAGCTTGAAATGGGTACTTGTGTCTAAGCTAAATGGCCTGGTGGGTCGAAAATGCTCGCCATCTTCACAGCTCCACATGAGTGGATCTGAGACCAGAATGTGAGGGTCAGAATAGCTCAAGTTACGAACTGGGTATCTCCCAGATGGGGTTCTGAGCTCGAGTTTTCCTGAATCGGAGCAAACCAGAATGTGTCTGTAATACGGGCTTCCACATCCATCGTCGATGCCGAAAGGGTAGTTTATGGGAATTCCACCACAAGAGGTTCTGCAAGTGCTGGATTGAGCTGTGGCGAAGGTGAGGAATGAGAAGAGCGTGAGCTGAGTGATGAAAGATATCATTTTGGATATGGGGTTGGGCGTGTGAAGAAGAAAATCCATGAGAGAGACGGGAGAACGGAAAATTAAATGCGTGTTGAATCATAGGCAGAGGAGGGAGTAAGCAAAGTGAAGTGGGAAAGAACGAATAAAGAAAGAAAGAATTGGTGTGTAAGCGTTGCTTTTGTTGGCTTTTGGTTGCTTTAATCCATGGCTTGTTTCTCTTTATATGCCGCTTTTGCTTTCTGGGTTCTGAAGCTGGGGACAGAATATAGAGAGTAAAGAGAATTGGGGAACCGAGTCGACAGTTCATGTTTAGTGAGGAATTCAAATTCTGATGTGTTTTTGTAGTGATGAAGACGAAGACAGAGGAGGGTAAGGGTGAAGTTGCGGTTAGGAATATGTTCTATCTCACGCCTTTGCATGCCGCACACTTTTGCTTATTGAGCAAATTACACGTTTAGTAAATTAATAATTTTAACTTAAATCAGAGGTTACCTTTATTTTGCAATTATTCCTTATAAGATATTAGTTGGTAATTTATTTTTTGATAAACGATATTACTTGGTGCTTTATATTAAAATACTATTATACTCAAATAAAAGACAATTTTCTTGGTTTTTAACTCATAAAATTAGAGCATGAGACTTCAATTAAATTAAGAGGTCACTTGTTTGTTGGAGTTTTTGATAATTTATTATACTAATATATATTTTATTGTACACACGTGTTTTTATATTAGAGATAATTATACTTAAGATGTGATTATATTTTTAAATTTTATTTTTTTGATAAAGCACTCTTTTAAATTTTAGTTTATTATGTTGTGGTAGAGTTATTTTTTCTGTTAAACCCTATCATACTGGTTTTTTGGGCCAAAAATTATACTGGTTAAGCTTGCCATTTTTGTCTCCGTTGGCAAAAAACAGATTGATATTTTTTCTCGTGCTGGGCCATTTGGGAAAAATTTCATTGTGGAAACAGGTAGAGAATTCAACTGGCCCAATACCTTCTAGGGCTGGGTACATTACTCCAATGTTGAATATCTGTATTAAAAAAATGTTGGTATATCACATGTAGCCTAAATAAGTACTTTTGGGCATTAACCCATAGTTCATCCACCTACTCCTTCAATCTTATTTATAAGATAAAGAGATTAAAAAAATTTATTTATAAGTCACATCATTAAATTTTTATCATAATTTTTTCTTTTATCCTCCATTAAATATTAAAAAGAGAAAATACTCCCTCCATTTCTAAATATAAAAGAAACTATCACTTGTTTTATTTTTATGTATAAGCAAAATCACATATATCAATAAGCTTTTATTGCAATTTTCTTAAATTATTCTTCATAAACTCATAATTTTCATTTAGGAAAAACAATTAATGCAGCCTTTTTGTTATTAAATGCATGGGTATTTTAGTCTTTTTTTTATTTCAAGATATAGTTGTTATAACTAACTCATTTTCTTAAACTATTTGATGTAGTTATTTTCTTATATATAGAAACGGAAGGAGTATGTTGTTAATTAGAATATGTATATTTAATAAGGATAAAATTAAGACCTTAATAAATTTTTAAATAGAATTACAGAGGCTTGAAATTTTTCTTGGTACCGATAAAACATATTCAAAGTAACTTATAAATAAATACAGACAAGTAAGTATTAGGGCCTTTTACAACCTTAATGAGTGGTGGTTGGGAGTTTAATTTAAAATCCTCATAAATATTTAAAGCAAATTTCGTTAAATACTCCCTCTAGTTTTATTTATAATTAACTCACATTCTTAAATTATTTGATGTAGTTATTTTTTTATGTATAAAACGGAAAGAGTATGTTGTTAATTAGAATATCTATATTTGATAGGGATAAAATTAAAACCTTAATAAATTTTTAAACAAAATTAAAGATGCTTGATATTTTCCTTGGTAGCAATAAAACATATTCGAAATAACTATAAATAAATACAGACAAGTAAGTATTAGGCCTTTTACAACCTTAATGAGTGGTGGTTTGGAATTTAATTTTAAATCCTCATAAATATATAGAGCAAATTTCATTAAACACTCCCTCTAGTCTTATTTCTAAGTAATTTTTAGCATATTTTATTAAAATTAAGGAAAATCTTAAACCTCATTACTTTTATTTTAAAATTTAACAAGTCTTCACCTTTATCTCTAATAAATGTTCTTAAATCTGATCAATGGTATTTTTATTTAAGGTATTTAAAATGGGCAAATATGTAAAGATGAACATTGAGAATTGATAAGTGCCTTGTAAATAAGATTAAATTTTTTCTTCCCACTCTACCTTATAAATAGAACTAGAGAAATATTATCTATCCTTTACCTCCATACTTCTCTAGTATATACTACTTATAGTGCAAAGAGAGTTCATATATTTTGATTCTATTTATAAAACACTTTAATGATTTTTTATGTCTATCTTTACTCTTGTATCCTTATTAAGCATTGGGAAAGTTTTTAAATGCCCACAATATTTTATTTTAAAGTATATATATTTAATAGGGATAAAATTAAAAACTATTAAATTTTTAAACAAAATTAATTAGGTTTAAAATTTTCTCTATTGCAATGAAACATACTAAAAATTACTTATAAATAAGAATGAAGAGTACTTAAAAGGATAACAATGCCTTGTACAAGTACAGAATAATTCTAGTGCTTACAAAAAAATTTCTTATTATTGATCATAAAAATATTTTATAAAATTGTAAATGTTCTATTTAAAATTTGTTATTTTATCTATCCTCTTTCAAATGGACAAAAAAAAAATCTCACTAAACGTTTCCTTAAGGTTGTTGGGTGTAGACTGCAGACAAAATATGTAACTATTTCCAAGCCAATGATGACAAAATGAGTTGTGAGAAATTTTGAGCTCATGACAAGGAGGTCATCTATATATATATATCCTCTAGCTTTGTATTATTGCCGGTCATAATCAATAAAACTATGAATTTCTTGTCTTCTCTCTTATCCGACACAGCAAGTAGTCACATCGAACATTTGGAATTAATTTAGTGCTTGGTCTTCTTGTAGATCACAAGATTTAAACTCTAGCTAAAACTCAATTCTACTTTCATCAAAATCGAACAAAATTTAGATAAATTTAATTTATCTCAAGAATATGCGTTTAGTTTCTATGCACGTCTTGTTTTGTTCGATTTGCAAAAGTGACTGGTCCCTGATGCACCCCCCTTAGCTCCTTGTTTGTTTGATAGCAATGGCCACTAGTTGTACAACTTGGAATGGAAACAAGAATATAATATATATTCAAAACTCGCGTGCGTGCGTGCGTGCGTGTGTATATGTATGGTTGATTCTTTGAATTTTGATTCCCATTCTCTCATAAAATGTCGATCGATGATCCTACGTATATATTTCAAGGGAGTGAAATGACTATTCAATTCATTTAGGAGGTTAATGGAATGGTTAAATATAGCCTATATATGATTCGGTTAATTTTGTTAATGGCCAAGTTTATTCCTTTTTATGAGTGGCTTTGTTGCTTAAATTAAGTATATCTGTCTCTGTTAACGATATAATTCTTTTTTGGATCGATTTTTGGAATTCACTGATGCAATCATACCTCCAAAGAAATTTAACCAATCTTCCCCCCCCCGGGGCATATTTTATGAATTTAACGTTGATTAAAAAATTATGCACTTATTTCTTTAAACAGCATGCCAAGTATACACTGGAAAGGAGGAATTATTACTTACAAATTAAATTACAATCATTGCTTAAGATATTGCCTATTTAATACTGTGTCGGCTGTTTAAATATAGAAGAAAACTTATATACTTAGGATACTTTTTTTTAATTAAATAAAAATATGTGTATTATTTATAGATTATTTATTCTATGATAAATTTTTATTATTAATATTTTTAACACTTTAAAATTCACTTATTCTGATTTAATTAGGTAAAAGTATATTAATTGTACAAGGTTAAATACTTACTACACTTAAATATATATGGCCACAACACAACCCCTTCTATGTCATTTTAATTGATTAGCTCATCAGGAGGGGGATCTCTCTGTAGTTATTGTGAAGTGAAGTGTTTTTTCACTGCTGACATGTGTTATCTAATTAGAAACAATCGTACTCAAGATACTATTGAGTTATATGAACACTTCTCCCAAACATGGTTTGAGCACTAATTTGCTACATTATGAAGAACTAATACCTCTTTTGTTGGACTCAACCCCATTAATAATTTTTTTATGCATGTCTTTTTAATATGTTGCACGTGCTTGAAGAGATGAAGAAGATACAAGAAAGAAAGTTTGCAGCAAACAATCAGGATTCATGTCTAAAGCTCCCATTTTTCACAACACATGAGCATCAACACACTATAAGCCTTATAACATACGGGTTTTACTATAAGATGTTATGGTTGAGTTGAATGATAAAGATTTAATTTGATTTTCTTTTTTACCACTCTTTGATATCACATGATCACACTTTAGATGTTTGTATTAGGGTTAAAAATTATTTTTGTCCCTAAATTGAACACGTAAGGTCATAAGTGACCTTAAACTTAATTATGAATCCATTTTATCTCTTAACTTTAAATATTTCCTTCTTCATCACCCTGCCATTTTTTTTATCATTAGTAGGCCTCACATTATATTTCTTATTATAAAATATTCAAGTTGAGGGTGCTAATTGACCCTTTGAATAAAAGTTGAGAGAGAAAAAAAAAACCCTTACACTGATAAAGAGGGACAAAAATGATTCTTAACCAAACAAAATATTTTTTAAAAAACAATGGAACCTACTGATGACTAATGAATGTTAAGTGTTTTTAACATCAAGGTGATAATAAAGGCAATCTTTAAAGTTGAAGAATAAAATTGATCCATAGTTAAATTTAAGACCATTTTTGTGACCTTTCGTATACAGTTCAAGGGAAACAATGACCTTTAACCCTTTATATTATATATACTCTCTTGATTTTTATTATAAGCCACATTTAACAGTTTTACTAGAACTAATAAGAGGTGCTTTAATCATTAATCTTGTATGACAAAATAATAAACTTTCAATTTTATTTCTATTTAAATGAAAAAAAATTAAAATTTGCACTACATTCTCTCTTTTAATCAATGAGTTTAATGCAATTAATACCCCACCAAATGCCTTAAGTGTAACAGCCCTCCTGGGTCACCACTGCCTCTCCAGGGTCTTTTCCCAGGCGTTGGACAACACACATGTCACCATATGATTGCCGGGCTTTCCCACTGGTGGTACAGTGGTTATTCCTCACCCCATCCTCAGGGGTCTTTTGG